ATGTCGTCAATATACATCAAAAACAATCGTGGCCCCAGTACCGATCCTCGTGGTACACCACATTCGACTTGGATTGGGTTGGACAGGGACCAACGCACTTTTACCTCTAAGCTCCGGTGGAGAAGAAAGCTTGTGATCCACCCTAGGAGCGGATCACCAATGCCGAAGCTCTGAAGTTTACAGATCAGGATTCCATGGTCTAGTCGATCGAAGGCCTTTGAGAAATCTAGGTAGACCACGTCCACTCCTGCACCGCTGTCAATTAATTTGGTCCAACTCGATCTTGCTAGCAGCAGATTTGTGGTGCACGATCGATTCCGTCGAAAACCATGCTGTTCATGTGCAAGGAAGGCAGACTCTTCTAGATAGGCTGTTAATACGTCAGCAACAATAGCTTCCATAACCTTTGACAGGACCGGGAGAAGGGTTACAGGACGGTAGTTGGCTGGGTCACAACGGCTACCGCCCTTGTGAATTGGGGTTATGATCCCACATTTCCACATCTCGGGTACATACATCTGATCGAAGCAGCGTTGAAAGAATCGTGCCAGAGGCTCTGCTAAACTTACTCCCATTACCGCAAGGGACTTAGGGTGAATGTTGTCGATTCCAGGAGAGCTGTGCTTACGCATACACAACAACTTCTTTAATACCATCCCCGCCGTGAAAGTTATGTGCGTAAGTTTTGGTTGTATAACAGCTGCTGACAAAGGAACAGATGACCAAGGAATGCGTTGAAAGTTTGAAGCATATTGCAGCCGCAAGGCGTTCGCCGCATCCTCCGTAGTCAGCGTCATGCCATCTGGCGTTTGAAGAGGAGGGATTCCTCGTTTCACCTTGCGCAGGTTGTTTACATGTTGGTAGAGCAGCTTATGATTCGAAACCATGCGCTCCGTCAGATGCTGCTGGTATGTCAGTGTATCCTCACGAACGAGTTGAGTGCAATGATTACGTTGAATTGCATAGGCCGTCCAGCTCTCCGTGCTCGGGTGTTCCTTATAGATATGCCATGCCGAGTTCCTCACTACCATACATTTCCGTGTCCTACTTCGCACAAATGAAACACTCTTCTTCGAGTAGACAACCTTAGTTTCGGATGCCTCTTCGACGAGAGTGCTAAATTGGTTGACGAAATGTGGCCATGCGACTGTCGGTACTTCGTCTGTCAGAAAGTTCCAGTTGGCTGTCTCTGCAAGTCGAGCCAGCTCATCGTACCAGTATGATAACTCGGCTTTCCCGTGGCATGACTCCAACCCATAGAGGGCCGACAAAACACAGACAAACACTGTGCTCACCAGCGCCCACCAAATCGAGGTAGACTGATTGACATTTGTGTTAATATGCATATTCTGGCTAATCCAGCTACGTGCACTTCGTTACTCTATGAACTTAGGTATTTCGTATAGACCGCCTTACTGAAGATGTCAAACCTTAGGTTTTGTATCCGTATTATACTGTTGTTCGATCCTTCTATTAGCTTTATTTTCATTGTTGTGTTGTTGGTCGCATGTGTCGTGCTGGCCAACTCATTTGTTATCGCTGCAACTAGACCAGTAAATGCGATGTTGGCTTCTTCAATTGTAAGCAGTGCCTTGACAACATGCACACACTAAAGAAATAAAAAAATTATAAATCATCGGGTGTATGCTGATCGCTGCCGCTTGGCCACAACCAGTCGCACGTGGGCTGTATACCGCTAAGACACCCGCCCCTGCGCGGATTCGAAAAGGTGGTCTTTTGATTGCAAACCAGGAGTGAAGACCACTAAGCCACCGTCCGACACATGTTCACATTTCGTCGAGTGCTGGAGCCCCAACACGTGCAGATGACTGATTGTGGTAGTTTTTCTTCATTCTAACATCACTTTCGACTCGCTTGATAGTACTCGATTGTGAAGTGCTTACTGTTAAAAGATGTACCAGGAAAACTCCTTTGAATTCCTTATCTGCACCACAGATCCTGAGCCCGATGGCTTGCCATTTTGGCTCACTACATCAAGTAGTGTCCAACTGATTTGCCCTTACACCACTTTAGTTAAGCGCACGATCGTAATGATCACAGCTAGCTGTCATCTCAAGATCAGCCGCAGTTCAATTCCTACCGGATGATCAGCTGAAAACGTAAGGTATGCGCAATGGCATACTTTTCCCTAGGTCGGATCTACCTTCCATACAAGTTATTCGAAATAGACATCCAGTGCACGCCTCGGAATGTGCATTGCGACGTCATAGTACGTGGTAACTAAAGAAGGACCAGGCCAACGTGCCGCATGTACCAGCCATCACTGACCAGCCTCTCGAAGTGACGGATCGATTCGCTCAACTATAGTAGCTGTATCGCCTAGGGTGGTCGCATCTCTGAGTAGGCTCTCTGTATGGTAGCAACGCCCGTGCTTTTCAACGTCCACCTCACTGATCACAACAGCGAGATAACTTACCAGTGAAATCGGTATGTGCAGCATTCGTGATATTGCCATATTACTGCATGGGTCATAAGTGTGATCACTCCGTAAGGGAGAAATCAAGAGATTTGTAGTCTCTAGTCACTGGTGATTATGAGGTATCGTACGTTTTTGTTGTGATCACCGAGCTAGTAGTTCTAAGATACGCCATCTTGTGTCTAAAAGGAATCTTTGTGATGCCACAATTGACAGTTTGTTAAGCTTGAACCGCTTGTGTCGCTTAGGCCTATGTGCTCCGGAGGTCCGTCGATAGCATTGCACATTACAAACCACTCCGCATCGCAAAGCTACCAAAGCGCTTAATAGTTCTTTACTGTCACCACCAGTTGATGGTAGAAGAATAGCATATCAACTTATAAAATTGGGCACTCACTTTAGCACATTTTAAATTAGGGTGCTTTTCACATTCAGCTTCGGGTAACGTTTCGCGCATGTCAACCTGAAGAACAATGATGTAGGCAAGCAACTGTGTGTGTGCACATTGCCCGGGCCCTCCCAACATCAATATTAGTGACACCCTGGGGAAAATAACTTTGTGGATTCGTTAGTTGTTGAGCAGAACAGAGTGAAAATATGCCAGCTTCTGACTGGTCAAATCAATGCGATTGGGTCCAGTTCCGCATGCCCACATCATGGCTTTACGACCAACGGACACGCTGAGTTGAGCTATTGAAACTATTCAACCATTTCGAACACTGGTAGCACAACGAGGAAAACCTTGAGATAGGGGTGATTTTCCTGGTTGCAGATATAACTTACCGTATATTACCGATTAGAAGCCGAGAATTTTTGGACGATTTTTCTTTTCCGTAGTGGAGGGGGTGGGCTTAGAAAAAGGATATACGGAATTCAAAAGGAAGTCACCCGTAAAAGCCACGCAGGAATTCCCTGTCCACCACTGTCTTTATCTCCGCTTAGCACTACCCACCAGTGACGGATGGTATTCCAGACGGGGATTTGAAGTGCCTTTAATTGGACACGTTACTTTTGTATTAAAAATGCTCGGTATATTGCACATTTGACCTTCGCGACAAGTGTCATTAACGAATCAAAAGCTCTTAAACATTGGGTTGTGTTAGGCGATCCGGTGCCTTAAAACTACTACGTCGTCCCACACCCCTGGCCGTGAACTTCGCTCTCACTAACTGCTTCCCTGTGGTTCATATGCAAGAAGTCCCGACTATGCGAGGCGGCTTGTCTGACACCCTCGCACAACATCCTAGATTGTCGGCTGTTGAACCTGTTTCATGTGACGTGACGTGTGAGCAATTCACTGTCCGGTGCGGTGAAAGTCTGTTCTGACGGCCCTACGCACCATTAACCGCGATCATAACATTACGGTCACCACAACTGACCAATAGTAGAGCAGGTTTCACTTGAACTCACTCAAGTGAGAGCAGGTAGTGATGACGTCAAAATCGTGCAGGAACAACTTCGTTCCTCTTTTGCTGATATTTTAAGGAGTCAGCTAATATAGGGACTTACGACTTTGGACAAAGTTGATGTTGCAAAGTTATACTGTCAGGTTTTCTATGAATGGGCTTATATTCGGTAAAACATGGTAATCGAACCATACATGAACATTAGTGCATACCACTTCTCCATTTCAAGATGAAAGCAAACAAATATCCTCCCCAAGTTGACGGTAGGGTATATTAAAGTCGATGCAATATTAACACAGCTACTTTAGCGGCGGTTTCAAATGGTTTAAAGGTTCAACCAGCACATGCCGTATATAAATAACTCCCTTTCATTGAGTGTACCGATATGCACACTTTTGGGCAATCCATAAATGTATATAATCATATTGGGTAGACAGCAGGATTATGTATATCTATAGAGCGTTGGATAGAGGCTTGAGAAAATCACTAGAACAAAACCAGGCTCTGGGATGATAGATATAGTATGGCTTGGGTAGAGACTAGATGAGTAACTCCAGAGGTGGCGTATTTTCACCTATTGCTTTAGCATGTACAGCAGAGTGGAAACAGTTCCTCGACTACATGACTGGCCACGCAGTACAAGAAGCTGGCTTTTTGTGGTATCTGTGGTGTTTATGAGGGATATTGCATTAAAAACATGTTGCACTTTAAAAGAATTACGACTTGAGTCATCAACCAAAGAAGTCAGCAAAACACATTTCCGAAAAGCAACGAGAAAACGCCATTGTCCTATTTGTAGCCGGCCATCGTCTGGCTTTAGATAGTTTGAACTCTTGAAGTATGCTTAGAACCGATCGTAAAACCATGGTTCCAGAAATTTGAAAACAGTCGGTTAGTTTATTTATTTGACTGATTGTGGGTCTTGATCATATATACAAATAAGTTCACCAAGTGGTGTCCAAACTTTGGGTCCATGCCGATAGAAGGCTAGCAAGGGATAGCTGACCTATGAGAAACATGCAGCTAATGAGACCAGAGGATCAGGGGCTAGCACACCAGCTTTATACTCCATGTTGGCGGCTATTTGCATCTATGCAAAGAAAAACAGTGAGGATTATGGAAATCTGTAATAATGGTTTTCATCTTTCTCTCCGCAGCAAAACAAGAGAGACCAAAATATACACAAAACGATCAGAATCCAGGTCTTGGTATCTGAGCGATCGTTACACGCATATGCAAGAACCAAAGGAAGGCCAACCATTCAACCTCCTTGTTTTCCTTGTTTCGCTCACCCTTTGGCTATTTTATCTGATTGTGTTTCTGAGTAAGTTAACGGGTATTATGTTTTCTCAACTCTCGTAGGATTTATGATAATGCAAGTGCTCTATACAATCTATGTGTCCACTAGGTTGTCGTAGATTATCCTCTAGCGCCATTTTCGCTACGAACAATACTGAAGATAAGGCTAGTCCCTAGAGCCACCGCTTCGCGTAGGACAGCAATGCACGATGGTGCTTTAGAGGCTGGCCCAGTTTAGTGGCTTAGTGGCACAAGCCTCTGGCGTCGGGAGGTCTTGAACTGGGTTCTTGGTGCAGTTAGGGATGCGCACTACAGGCGAGTTTAAACACGACGAAACGACTCTCTAGTGGACTTTAGAATGTGTGGCAGACTGTCGAGGCAAACTGCAGCCACTCATCCAGAATTACCATAAAAAGCTTTTATCTATAAGTTTGTAAGCTACTTGGAGAGAAGTATGGAACTGCGGTGTATCTATGTCCATTTGCACAGACCAGTAGATCTGACAGCGGTACCAGACCTATCTGCAACGCGGTACCCCACAGTCGTGAGGACCTACTTCCAACGAACGGAGTAACAACACGCGGAAAGGAACAAGTCTATGTACTCAGAACCATAGTGTAGTGGCGCGGAAGGCAAAAATCACAGGTTGAGCGGAAAAGCCGCGGAAACCAAAGAAGAAGTAAAATAACGGGGACACTAGGGACGAAACTCAACAAAGCCGGGAATGGTCTACGAGCAACAATCGATATCAGGCCCAGACCGAGAACAGCGGGGACGTAGTGGTGAAGAGCCCGATTTTCCGGAGATATAGTCCTTTGACCGCACCTGCAGGAATAACCTCAAGATGAGCAATGCAAGGAGAGCGATGAAACCCAGATCAGAACGAGTCCAGTCCTGTCAGAACACGACGGAAAGAAGCGAAGACCCGAGGACAAATCTGCCAGAAAGGACCCCTTGGATCGACTGATATCGTGGCATGAATGTGACGCCGAGCGAAAGAACAATGTTTGGTGCTTGGTGGGTTGGAATTGCCCTTTCGACCGTCTGAAGCACCGTATCCTCCTTCACAAGCTGCAGTGTTGTGGAATTGGTGACCCAATCCTCGGTTGGATAGGTAACTTCTTGCTTCAACGACATCTGAATGTAAGAGTTCGCGGCGTCATCTCTGACCCAATCGAGGTTAAGTGCGGAGTGCCCCAGGGCTCAGTACTTGGTCCACGACTATTCCTGATTTACATAAACGATCTCGCGACAGTAATCACCTCCGACTCCTTACTCTTCGCTGATGATCTCAAGATATAGCGAGCCATTAGAACAACCAGCGACAATGCAGCACTTCACGATGATCTTGACAGGGTCTACGAATGGTTGACTCAGAACCTGCTTCAGTTCAACGCTACAAAGTGCAAGGTGCTGAGCATACGCCATAAAGCCACTTGCGAATACAGACTGGGGGATCAAATATTGCAGCGCACTATAACGGAATGCGATCTAGGAGTGGTAGTGCAGGAAGATCTGGGCTGTTCCCGTCAGGCCGAGAAAGCCTCCAAAAAAGCTAACCAAAACCTTGGCCTTTTGCGGAGGGCATTCGAGCGCTTCGATCATTCTATCTTTTCTCAGATGATCAACGCCTACATTCGGCCTCATTCTGAGTACGCCATCCACGCCTGGCAGCCATGGCAAAAGCAAGACCTTACCGCTCTTGAACTGCCACAAAGAAGGGCGACCAAGAACGTAAAGGGCCTGTTTCATCTCCCTTACCGATTGAGGCTGAAAACCCTCGGGGTCTACAGTGGACAATATCGACGCCTACGTGGCGACTTGCTAGTGACTTATATGATCCTGAGGAATCCAAACCATTGTTGTCGTCACCTACTAAAGCTGAATAGCAATACAACACTCAGAGGACACTAGCTAAAGCTGGCCACACCATACAGCCGGTTGGAATGCCGTCGGAATTTCATTTCCCTTCGTGTGTGCCAACACTGGAACGCTCTTCCACATATGTTGTTTCTTCCCCCACGCTAACGGTATTCAAAAGACGTCTGGATGATTCGCTTATCCACCTATATTTCGCTATAGAATCAGTGATGTCTACGTCAACCAACAACGAACAAACGGTGCTCAATCTCAGCTTTTGTGCTTCACTACTTACACACTGCTGTTGTGGAATATAGTTTCGGATATATTACAACTGCATTCATCAGTTTACCCCAGTCCAAGAAAGCGGCGCACGAGTAAGCGTTGTCGTTTCTCTTGTTCTTAAGACATGTCTTCCCCATATTACTTCCCATATTACTCTACAGTAACAATTCCGTACACATTCTACAACGTTTATATGCATAAGGGGCACTTGAATTCACTAGACGCTTAAATTGATGGTTTACGCTGATGTTTACTTTCACTTCAACCATCCTACGAGACTTGTAAAGCAATCGCTTTTTTACCAGTAATATATCATTGTTCATTGTTCATTGAACCAGTTGTTCGTTGGCAATAAAGATTTTGTATCCCTACCTCCTTGTCTCGTTACATTGGCGGTCTACAGCCCTTGCACAGACATAGGGATTCTGCTGGCAGTCACTTTACGACAATTACTCTAGTTGCGGAACGGTTATCAGCTAAGGTATTGGTACGCAGTTGAGAAGGACAGAAAACTGGAGGGATTATGTATGCTCATCAGGATCCACTCTCACCACCAATCATAACAGGTAAGTTGCAAAGTAAGCGGATACTCTGGATTTGTTTCGGGCTCCGCATGACTTTCATTGCCTTCTTACAATGTGCATGCCAGCTAGATCCACCGCGCGTGGGATCACAAAATCCACCTGAAACCAGTACAAACGTTGCCTGTGTGATAGGGTCATTTGTCCAGGCAGTTGCGTGACGTGAGTTTAAATAGCACGGCTGTTGGGATACACTTGCTGAACATATCATGCACTCCTTCTGAAATGTCGTCAAATAACTCAGTTCGACTCAGAGGGACCGTGGCAGCGATAGGATGGAATGAGAATCTAAGTGTCACCTAGTCATGTCGGTAGCGATAGTTCTTCTTCAAGGCTGACAACAAAAGCTTCCGAATGTTTGCGATATCGCAACTACTAACCGTCAAACGATGCCTGGACCTTTGGTATGATAACTACTACTTTGCTAAACTCCAAACGCAAGACTCATCCAACGCTGATTTTATGAACTTAGGACACCCAGGTGGAACCCATGCATGTTGCTGGACCAGATCGCGTTCGCTCTAAAAGTGTCCTCCGCGGCACTTGTTTTTATTTTGCAGTGATCGTATAACCTGAAAGCACTAACATGGTGCGAACATTTGTGGGCATCTAACTGGCATTTACTCAGTAATCAGGAGTGGGAAGCTGAAGCGTGTGGTTGGTATAACCGACACACGCAGGGCTTCATTGTACCGTCGTCGCGCCCTCCTATCCCTAAACCACTCTTCTGTCTTATTCACTGTCACAAGGAGTGGGAACTTCCTCACTAGCAAAAGTCAATGGTAGCGAACATACGTTTCGATAATTCTTCATCAGGCTAGTATAATTATGTACCAAGTACATCGATTAGACAGACTACTGAGTCGGTAAAACGGGGTAAAATCAGTTGACAAGAAGTCAACTATCGCCACTAATCAGGTCAATGTCGGAATCTTCACACCATCCAACTGAGTAAAAATCACTACTCAATCGGTCCAGGGCAGTTATAAGGCTTGAGCAAATCGCTTCTGAGTGCACAACTTAGGTCCGTACAACCGGATTGCTATAGGAGAAAGAATCCGCTCGCATGATACACTTGCAGTTGAACTACAGCGAATAGGCCCGTTGCAGCGGGAAAATGGCTATCCAGACCACTTCCTAAAAGTCCACATGGAGAAGGGCATGAACACACCGGTTGTTTTAACAGCTAGCAGAAAAGCGATTTTCTTGCAACTCCCTTACAAAGGGGAAATCGCTGCTGAAACTCTTACTCACCGTCTATCGCAGGATCTTAGACGGGCGTTCCCAGCAGCAAAATTACATACCTACTTTACCAGCACACCGATGTTGAAGCTCAGGCTCAAGGATAATAGACCTGTCAACGACAACTCTATGTGCATGTATTCATTTACCTGTTCTTGTGGTTCAGGATACATTGGTAGTAAGATTAGATGCCTATCCGAGAAAATGAAAGAACACTGTCCGGCATGGCTAGCGACCGGATGCAGAAGGGTATGTAACTCAGCCGTAGCTGCCCACCTTGCCGACACAGGCCACAACCATAGGCCAGTCGAAGCATTCTTCATTATCTACAAGTCCCCGGAAAATCGATCGAAGTATATGCGCAGACGGATACTAAAAGCCGCTGAAGCCATAGCAATCCGGTTGTACGAACCAAAGTTGTGCACTCAAAAGCGATTTGTTCAAGCCTTACAACTGCCCTAGCCCGATCGAGTAGTGATTTTTACTCAGTTGGATGGTGTGAAGACTCCGACATTGACCTGATTATTGTCGATAGTTGACCACTTGTAAGCTGACATTACCCCGTTTTAACGACTTAGTAGTCTGTCTAATCGATGTACTTGGTACATAATTGTACTAGCCTGACGAAGAATTATCGAAAACATATGTTCGCTAACATTGACTTTTGATTATCTGTATGGGTTTCTTCACTATCACCAGTAAATGACGACGCTCAAAAGCCCAAACCAAAAATAGTAAAGTGACGTTGTGGATGGTCATCAGCAGCGAGAAGTGTCAAGCGAAACAGCAAAGTCTGGAGCTACACCCGAATGATCAGTTGGGTGTAGAATACTCGAAGGGACGGGGGATGGATTTCCTCAGGTCACTCATCTTAGTACCCTTCGAACTTTCACTCTCGAATACGCGAATGCCAACCTCATGCACTCGTGCTCTAAAGTGGCTCTTATCGATGCTATGAAGGTTTTCTAGACAGCTTAAGCTGCACACACCAAACCGTATAGCTCTCACCTCTATGCCAACGGCCACGTTCGCCTCCGTGGTGGACCTGTTCCACATG